GACCACAGGCGCCCGCCACAACGCCTGGCTATTTTTTGGTTGCAGCCATCATTGTTGTTTGGCGGATCCGGGCTGGGGATTCGAACCCACCACCTTAGGTATACGTGGCTGGCGCCTTAGCCGGTTGAGCTATAGGCACCGAGCCGGTAATGTGATTTTTAATCAAAGAGAACGGGGATGATTAATTCCTTGATTAATAGGAACACGTTCCTATTGAATGTACACATTCACAGTAATAGAAATTCTAAATGGTTACCAGAGAAGGCTTCTTCACAAATTATAGTATTCCAAAAACAAGCATGATGCCTCTGGCCCTGGGTTCCCTACACAGAAAATTTGGGGGTTCAATAAATGTATTTTTACAGCTAAATAAATAATAGACAGGCATTATGTCAGGCACCTGTAGTCCCAGCTACTTGGGAGGCTAAGGCAAAAGAATCGCTTGAGCCTAAGAGTTTCAGGTTACTACTCAACCCCAGGGCAACTGAGTGAGACTCTGACTCCAAAAAAATAGAAGACAAGCTGTTCACACACTAATTTCTAACTATGGGGGAGACTGTGACTTCTCTAATCCACTCCTAAGAGAGGCTGACCCCATAGTGTTGGGACATAGAGGGTGGAGAAGAGAACTGAAGGAGGAGCCCCACGTAGGCCTGGACTCGGTGGGCTGGTCTAGATCAGTGAAATGGCCACCACGTTTAACTGCAGTTGCCTTAGGGTGAGAAATCTATGTTCTGTAAATACCTATATTTCTATAAATCTTATATTTTAAATTTAGGGGCTTTTCCCCTTAATTTATTACACATTTTCTTCTCATTACCTTGGGCTAGGAAAGGAGAATCACACACCAGTATGAACAATTGTGCCATTCTGTTGTTTTGCAGCCTGAATCCGAATCCCGGATTCTAATTGTTTTTAAGTTCAAGATCTGGATCAGAGTCAGAAGAGGTCAACCACTGCTACTGGGGTAGGGGTTAGGGGGCTGCTGAGACAACGGCAGGAAACAGGGACAGAGCTGACCCTGGGGGTGCACATACTGGGGCTCCCATCCAGGTGCCTGAGGCTCCTTCATGTAGGCCACAGGTAGGAGGCTGACAGCAGTACCTCAAAGCAGATGGGCATGAGACGGACCTGGGACTAGTACTTGGAAGCTAAAAGGATGACCACATATGTACAGAGAGGACCTGAAAAGACACTGTCCTTTTAACTGTATCCCAGCATCCTGTCTAGGGCCTCTTCTTAAGGGCAGGGCCACAGTTGGCTCCTGGGCCTCTGACTGGCCTTGTGAGTAGTCCATTGTGAGTCCAGCTGGAAACACTGGTGCCAGCTCTGCTTTGTGCCCCTCTGTTTGAGACACTTGTTTTAAACTATTCATGATTATTCTTCTTTAACTCTTCAAATTTAAGCAATTCCCATCCTTTTAGGACACTCTGGATCTCCTGGTTACTCCAAGTTTTAATTGACTGGTCTGAGGCCGGGTGAAGTGGCTCACACCTATAATCCCAGCAGCTTTGGGAGTGTGAGGTGGGCGGATCTCCTGAGCTCATGAGTTCGAGAACAGCCTGAGCCACAGTGAGACCCCATCTCTAAAAATAGCCAAGTATTGTGGCAGGCACCTGTAGAATTGCTTGAGCCCAAGAGTTAGAAGTTGCTGTGTGCTATGATGCCAAGGAACTCTACTGAGGGGGACAAAGTGAGACTCTGTCTCAAGAAAAAAATAATTAACTGGTCTGAGGGTTTTTCCATTTCCTTGGCTCCATTTTCCTCCTTTACATCTTATGGGCATCTATTACCTTCAGTGTGATGAGAGTCTCCCGCTCTCCATTTTTATTCCTGAGTTTTCTCCTAGGTTTCTTTTCACTTTAGCTTCAGGGCAGAATCCAGGATCTGCAAAGAACTAGCACTTACTCTTTTCTAATCCAGGAGAGTCAGAGGGTTATAGAAATGTGTTTGTTCCTCTCTGCTTCTGGCAGTCTCTCAAATTTGGAGGTTTTACTTCTGAAGTGTCATTACATTCATGAAGTATTGGTCTTTTCGAAAATTTTCTACCTATCTTGACTGTATTAAGAGGAACAACATTTGGGGCCTGGCTTGGGTATGCTAAGTGAATGGTAGAGAGATGGTAGAGATGGCAGAAAGAGAGAAGGGTAGAATCTCAGGGGGAGGGAGCCAGGGACATTTTGGACAGCACATCCACCCACCCGAGAGTACCCAGCTATGCAGCTTCACCAGGTTCCCAGGTGCAACTCTCCACTCCCTGTGAATACAGGACATCTACCTCTCAGTTTCTTCTGCTCTATCCCTGCACTTTTGGGGGGCTGGGGCCCATCACTTCCTCTCTTTTCAGAAGCCTGCCATATGGAGAAGTTCCCAGGTGCTCAGATTCTGGTGTCAGCAGTGGCTGCCCTGTGTATTGTGAAATGGGACTGCCCCAGCTCTTACCACATCCTGATCTTCATCCCGTTCTACCTTCTGGCTGAGGTTCAAGGAAGAACAGTGCCCTTCAGGGTTGGCCTCTTTGGGACTTGGATTCTTTCCCTCCTGGTAACACAGAGTTTCCTTTTCCAGAAAGGGTAACCCTTTATTTCTGTGGGGAGGAATTGGAAAGGAAGGAATTCTCTTAACTCTCAAATCAATTATAGCATTTAATGTTTTTAAGTTTGAAGTCAGTAAGTTCTCTATGAACTTACATATCCATATTTTTATGAAAAAGAAACACAAATAAATAGTATTACCTTGCTCTAGAAATAGTTTCATCTGTAATCTCTTTACTGCTTAATCCAATAGCTGAGTGTGGGTCTTTGGAGTGAATGACCCTCTCATACTTGTCCACTTTGCTTTTCTTGGAAAGGTCTAACTCTGCCAAGGACAAACATGCCTTCTCCACCCCTGCAGCTGTAACTGGGGTGCTTCCCTAATTCATGGAAGAGAATTCAATCTTCTTCCTCTTTTTCCAGAAGGCGCTCATAGACTTAAGCCTCTAGTCTAAAATAGAAGCCCCCAGGTACTCCAGCAATGCAATAATCTCCTTCATATCTGGGTCACACTCTGCTAGTAAAAGTATCAAAGAACAAAATCCCTCCTTCTATATCATTTATAGAAATCAGACAGGATTAAGATGTGCATTATCCTAAAATCTTATCCAAACAGATCTGTTTGAGACTGTGGCAGTTAGAGGAACTTACTCCTTTGAATTCTAATATACAAGAGTGATTCTGAACTACCCTATCTTTTGAGCCTTCAGCTACAAAATGAATAGGGCTTCGTTTCAATACTTCCTTCTGTCCCTAAATTTCAGCTCCTATTCAAGAGACAAAGCAGCAAATTGTTTTTTGTTTTGGAGACAGAGTCTCACTCTGTTGCCCTAGGTAGAGTACTATGGTATCATTGTAACTACAGCAACCTAAAACTCCTAGGCTTGAACAATCTTGCTTCAGCCTCCCAAGTACCTGGGACTACAGGCACCCACCCCAATACTCAGCTAGTTTTCTTCCTATTTTTAGTAGAAAGAGGGTCATGATCTTGCTCAGGCTGGTCTGGAACTCCTGAGCTCAAGCCATCCACCTGCCTGGGCCTCCTAGAGTGCTAGGATTACAGGCATGAGTCACTGAGCCCAGCCAAAATCTCTTACTTTCAATTCCATAGCTATTTAATTGCAATGATCTTCATGTTACATGGATGGCAGTGTGTACAGGTACCACTTCTCTGCTTATAACATCTGGGCAGGATATTGTAATAGCTACTACACATTAACACTAGTTTCAAACCCTGTTTGGAGTTTATACTGCTCCAATTCAATAAAACTCCACTAACCTTTAACTTTAATACAAGTTAACAATTATTTCCCATTTCTGCGCTTGGTATTTCTAAGTGTGTTAGCTCTTTGTCCCTTAAAACCTGAAAAGCCTGACTAGAGCTGCCGCCTCACCCAGACCTGGGGGTGGGAGGTGCTGGACCCGGTGCCACAGTGGAGCTGGTGCAGCCACAGCACCTCGTCCGCAAGGTGAAGGGACGGCTGAAGGTGGACGACGGCAACACAGCCCAGCGCCTTAAGTGAGCGAAGCAAAGCTGTGCAGTGACAGGCTTACTTGTAAGTAACAGCTGTTTCTTCTTCCTGGGATGCCGGAAGATGAGGAGCTCTTGCCAAGGGCTTCAAATCAAAACTAGTATGGTTAAAATTCACTTTCACTTTTAACCTTTAACAAGATAACACGTGTGAGGATGTTTTGAAGACAATACTAGCTTACATACTTACACAGAAATTACTGTGATACACTGACTGCTATAAACAGAGTCCAAAATAATATCATTACTTCAAACTGGTACCATTCTTAGACGAGATTAGTTTTTGTTTTGTTTTGGCTTGATTTGGTTTTGAAACAGGGTCTCTCCTTGTCACCCAGGCTGGAGCACAGTGGCCAGATCATAGCTCACTGAAACCTCCAGCTCCTGGGCTCAAGTGATCCTCTTGCCTGAGCCTCCCAAACTGCTGGGCTACAGGAGTGAGCCACCACAGCTGGCTGAAATATTTTTTGTCTATCTTTTCACTTAGCTTTTGTCTTATTCTATATTCAAACTGCAATACGTCATTTGTCAGATTAAAGTTTCTAGAAATACCATTTCCAGCATCTCACTCCCTCCTCGCTCTACTCACTGACTCCCCATTCCCTGCAGGACAAATGCCCAATTCTTTAGCAGGCATTAAAGGCTCTTTACAAAAATGGCTCCAACCTGGAGTCACGGACTGAATCAATGACTGCCCATCCGTCCATTCATTACACAGACAAGTAAATAGTTGCAAACTGTGTGATAAATGAAGAGGTACAGAGTACAGTGGTGGGACAGCAGAGGGACTGATCCACACTGCCTAGTAAGAGGAGGTAGTTCGGAAAGACTTCTGAGACCAAGTCATAAAGTGGCATTTCATAGAGTCTTAGAAACAGACTTTTGCTCAATAAGATTGCTGTGAGCTATGATGCCATAGCACTCTACTAAGGGCAACAAAGTGAGACTCTTGGCTCCCCCTCCTCCAAAAGAAAGAAAGCTAAAACTGGCCAAGCACAGTGGCTCATGCTATAATTCCAGCACTCTTGGAGGCTGAGGCAAGTGGACTGCCTGAGCTCTGCCTGAGGCAGAGCGAGATCCCATCTCTAAAAATAGCTGGGCATTGTGGCGGGCACCTATAGTCCCTGCTACTTGGGAGGCTGAGGCAAGAAGATCACTTGAGCCCAAGAGTTTGAGTTTGCTGTGAGCTAGGATGCCATGACACTCTACCAAGGGTGACAAGATAAGACTCTGTCTCAAAAAAAAAAAAAGAAGCTAAAATTATACTGAATCCTCAAATGCCTAGTCTAGGCTAGTGTGACACTTTGGAATACCTGGGAGCCCCACATACAAAAAGCGTTTGCACTCACTTGCAAACTCTTCTCCATGGGCTCACACCAGGTGCTAACAAGAAAGATTAGGGGCTCAGTGCCTGTAGCTCACTGGCTAAGGCACTAGCCACATACACCAACGTCGAACTCAGCCAGGGCCTGCCAAATAACAATAACAACCATAACAAAAAAATAGCCGGGTGTTGTGGCAGGCGCCTGTAGTCCCAGCTACTTGGGAGGCTGAGGCAAGAGAAT